TTAAAGATGGTGGCAGCTGCCATTTCCAGCAAACATGGTTAATAAATGGGTGGTTTAATATGCAGCAATCAAATTGAATAGTTCACATGTAAATTCTTCTATCCTATCCTGGCCAAGTATGAGAGATTGGTTTAATCTTGAAAGTTCGTTCCTGTTTAGAATCCATCATTTACGTGGTATATGTGCTTGTCCTAATGTGGAACCATGTTGAGCGGACTTTTCAAAACAGTTGTCGCACCCGTGTTGGATCCTCCAAAAATGTATTTCCTCTGTTCCAGTTTATGTGAACCTATTTCCTTTTTGGTTCGTACAAAAAAGAATGATCCATTTCTAAATTTGGAAATAATTTAGCTTAAACTTACAATTCTATGCTTAATGAGAATTTTATAACCACACAAATACTCTTGGTCTCTTTTCAACTTGTTTAGGACCACAAATTTCAAAAGTTTTCGTTTTTTAAAAGTTTGTGCCTAGTTAAATAGGTTCACATAAATTGGAACGGAGGGAGTACTATTTTTGGAGGATCCAACACGCACCCATATACATTTTCGGAGAGTCCGAGTTACATAGATGTTAAATTCATCTAGAGTCCACTTAAGTCCAAAGCGACTATATGATCTTGCATGCTAACCAACACCAAGAGGTTCTGCTTTATGTGATTAATAACATTTAATGTCTGCTCTAGGAATCTTCTGAATAGCAGTGGATATACAAGTATACTCATGATATTAAAAATAGTCATATTGTTTTATATTGTATGGAGGCGAATAATACACTTTGAAAAAATTTCAGAGTGGAAACATGGTATAGTTTGCCTTGTGGTTTAGCTTATATTAAAACTTGAGTATTACTATTCCATGGAATCTTCTTGCACCAATTTAAGCCCTTTTGCCTGTATTTTCTTTCTTATTTAAAGAACTCATATGCTCGAGCTTATCAACTCATGTAACTGAATAAGGCACGATATCTCACACTATGACAGATGTATATGCTTCTTAAATTATACTAACAAGTACTCCTTTCATTTACTGGGCATATCATTTGGTTTGTCGTCCATATTTTTGTACTTGTAAAAGGAGGCAACCACAAGGAAATAAATGAAGTTTACTGATCCCAGGATACAACAGAGCCAGAAGACATTGTCCATTCTTCCATCATTGATATTGTCAGGCAACCATCCTGATTGTCTTTGAACCAGATCAATCAACACGTTCCCCAAATAGAACGCGATGCCAATAAACAACAAAACCATTGCAGTCGAGGTGTTCTTCAATGATGTTGGAAATTCTTGGTAAAAAAACACGGTATGTCCTGGAAAATGGAATCCTTCTCCGATTCCATTCAAAGCAAGCTGTGGTAATAGCCAAAAGACCGATAATGGAACAATGGCATTCTTTTGTCCTTGGAGATGGTGTGATCTACCTATCCTTAGTCGCCAAGACTCCACCAGCGCGGAAGCAGCCATGCACGCTATAGTTAGTGCATGGCCTATTCCAACGCGCTGAAGAGGGGTGAGAGTAAAACTTGTGTACTTAGCTAGAAAAGGGTTGAGTAGCCGGTCTATGAACGATATGGTTATACAAGTGAACAACAATATGAAGACTAACATAGAACCAGCTGGGATCTCGAAATGAGGTCCCATATGTCGATCCATTTTGAGAGCCTAAAGTGTTAACAGGCTTAGTTGCATGACTAGTTGTGTGGATATAAGTAAACCACTAGCCCACAGAGGGAAAAGCTTGATCAAGCTTTTCAAATCTTCAACTTGTTGTACTGTACATAGTCTCCAGGGGTTCCTTATCGAGCCATCTGATTTGATGTCTCCCTCAGTAATAAAAGCTGCACAATTCAAGAACCTGTACAACATGACTAGATCAGCTAATGAATTTGACAGAGGAAAATATAAGGAGAAACATCACCACCACCACCACCACCAACAACCCAGTAAAACCCACAAGTGGGGTCTGGGAAGGGTAGTGTGTACGCACACCTTACCCCTACCTCGAGGGGTAGAGAGGTTGTTTCCAATAGACCCTTGGCTCAAGAAGACGAAAAAGGACAATATATCCGTGAAACCAGAAAAATAACAACAGTGTTGAGTTTGCTAACAATGTTGAGTGTTGAAAAACAAGGGGAAAAGAGATTTACTTGAAGAATTTGCTAGGAATTGGAGATGTTGTTGTGGTTTTGTCACTTGGATCATGGTAATAGCGTTGAGCTTGTTCCGAAAGAGGGACTCTCCATTTCCTAATAGCAGCGACAATAACACGCGCTAAGTTGATGAAAGGGCTACATCCTTGTTCCTTAACATGACGATAGAAACTTTTTCCAGCAAGAAATATTGCCAAGCCATAGATATACCTAAACCCCATGGCCAACCGATATTGTCCTCAACGTATACAATGAACGCGGTGCTTAAAGCCCAACACAAGTAAAAGATGAATATGTACCAATCAAAGAACATTGATTGATGTTTTGGCTTGTCAAATTGATAAGCTCGCATGGGCGCGATTGTAAAACGTGTACCTGCAATTCCTATAGATGCTAATGCTAGTCCAACATACAAAACTACATATTGTTTTGTTGAGGGGTTTGTGCAGAGGTTGGATCCATCACCACATGCTGCAGGTCTTAATCCATCAGTTGCTGCTGTCAATAGTAGAACCATTATACCCTACAAAATCAATATGTGGTTCTTGAATCTTTTTCTATTGTGTAGATAGAAGATGAATTTAATGAAAGAGTTAGTTGGTATTTACCAGAGCAGAGACAAGAGAAGAAATCCAAATGACTGAAAAACAGCCAAGATAAGAGTCAGCAATGATTCCACCAAGAATTGGGAAAATAGTTGTCAAGCCATTGACCACATTGAAAACTTTAGCAGCAGCAATGCTCTTCATATTGAACTCATTTATTAGAAAAACAGATTGCTCGTCCACCCTCCAGCCGCGAGCGATAAGCCCGCCATAGTTGCTGAAAATACCAATCAAAATATTCAACATTTGTTACATTGTCTCAACTCTTAACATGGAGTCTGCAGAAGTGTGTTCAACTGAATTCGTTGCTTTCAACTCGAACCATGTATACATGACATAATAGATCGCGCCATTCTGAATCCACAAACTCTAAATCCCGCATTCGACTCTTAACTGAAGGACAAAGAGACAATGGGACATACCTATAATAAAGGGGAAAGTTATCCATCCACCATTCTTTCGACCCGAAGAGGACTGCATTGCTACTTCATCAACATGACTTGCTGAATTTTCCATAGCTAGCTGCAAGCAGGGGCGGAGCTAGCGGGTGCGTCCAAATCTAATAACTTTGATTCGAACTTTATATTTTTATCTTAAAGAATTCATTAAATATATAATAAATTATTAATTAGAACCCAATAAATTAAAACGATTAGAATCCCGAACCAATAAGCTTGAAATTCTGGTTCCGCCTCTGGCTACAAGTCAACTTGAGAGATGAAACTATGTTTGTTTCTACTTGCTATGAGTTCTTCATTTATAATAGAAGGCAAAGTTTACCTAGACTTGCACGCCATATTTTCACCAAACTTTTTAAAAAGTTGCAACAATGACTATATATTATTTGGAGAATCTAGTTTAATCAGACATCTGAAAAAGGTCAGATATTCCTTATTGTCCAGTGAGTCAGTTTCGGCATCTTAACTACTTTCCCAGAACTCATAAGCTATAAACTATGATAGGTGATATTATTTGTTTAAATGCAGTCCAAATAAACAAAAAGTTAGGCGTACCTAAAGTCAGAATAAATAAAAGGAGATGAATGCTAAATACTATAGAATATTAACGTGTGTCTGTTTTCAATAATTTTTGGAGGACTTAGCATTAAACTATAGAAAGATGAACAGAAAGTCATCTCCTGAATACAGTTTACTGTAATTTTTTCCCTAGAAAATGATAAGAAAGTACTATCAAGTTGGGTATTTTTCCACTTCATCAAAGTTTAGAAAATGCTGGCACCGTAATATTAAAATGAGTCAATTAATGCATAGAATAATCGTTGATAATTTACTATCTTAAAAAAGCACCTTTTCAAGCAATGATGAGAAAATATCAACTCTTGTTCTCTTATTTTTAATGATTGTTGTATCCGTAATCTAAGATGATTATTGGACAAGAGGCGGGCCCACATTTAAAGGTTGCATATGCACTTTTGCATTCAATCAAAATCTGCTTTGTATACGAGTGTCACTACTAGTATATCACTATATTTTTTAAAACCATATATATGTACACATGAAATTTTAAAAGCCATATATATATTTTGGGTGCCAGTGATCCCTTTCTATACAACGTAAGTCTAACTCTAGATACATTCAGAATGGAGGAGTTCATTATTCAGATGGTCACACAACTATTGGAAATTACCTATTAAATCATATTTCTTTTGTTTGCAACAGAAAAGTCTCGCTTAACTATTTCTATAACACTCACAAGATCACTCAACTAGATTTCTCAAACTTTCGGTGGCCAAATACCTATTTTACCCTCTAAATTATCAACATTTATCTCTTTTCTTGATTTACGGGTGAAAAAGAAAAAACAATCAACTTGGACCTTTTGACAATGCAAAGTAACCACAACATGCCTCCTGTGTCCTGATTTCAATTCACTAAACCAGGTCCGACTCAAATTCATTCATTTACTTAACATTTTCAGTTGATCTACATTGACAATGCTTAGTGGCAAATCTGCTAACTGATAATTTTGTTGCAAAAAATACACCATTTTACACCTTTTGTTGGTAAGCATTCACTTATTTAAAGGCTTCATCTCTTTCTTATGGTCACTCAATGGAGATGTTCGCCTTTGTTTGGAATGAAGATGGATAAACAGGCACTTGAGTCTGGAACTAATGAAATTCCGGGAAAACATGGAAGCGGCTTCAATCAGTTTATCAGCCTAAGTCTTCACTTTGTTACCTGTGTCATTCAGAACCCGCTGGCTCCAGAAAAAGGGGGGGGNTTCAATTATAACAATGATCATTTACTAGGCACATCATTTGGTTTGTTGTCCATATTTTTATACTTGTACAAGGAGGAAAACACAAGGTAATAAATGAAGTTTGCTGATCCTAAGACACAACAGAGCCAGAAAACATTATCCATTCTTCCATCGTTGATATTGTCTGGCAACCATCCTGATAGTCGTTGAACAAGATCAATCAACCCGTTACCTATATAGTACGCGATACCAATAAACAGCGCAACCATTGCAGTCGAGGTACTCTTCAAAGATACTGGAAATTCTTGGTAATAAAACCCCATATGTCCTGGAAAATGAAATCCTTCTCCAATTCCATTTAGAGCTAACTGTGGCACAAGCCAGAAGACTGACATTGGAACAATGGCACCATTTTGGCCTTGGAGATGGTGCGATCTAACAAGCCTCAGCCTCCTGGACTCCGCCAGCGCGGAGACAGCCATGCTAACTATAGTCAGCACATGGCCTATTCCAATGCGCTGAAGTGGGGTGATAGAAAAGCGAGTGTACTTAGCTAGAAAAGGGTAGAGTAATCTGTCAATGATTGATATCATTATACAGGTAAATAACAATATGAAGACTAACATAGAACCAGCTGGGATCTCGAAATGAGGTCCCATATGTCGATCCATTGTGAGAGCTTGAAGAATTAGCAGACTTGATTGCATGACTAGTTGTGTGGATATTAGTAAACCACTAGCCCATAGAGGGAAAAGCTTGATCAAACTTTTCAAATCTTCTACTTGCTGCACTGTACATAGTCTCCAGGGATTCCTAATCGAGCCGTCTGATTTGGTGTCTCCCTCAGTAATAAAAGCTGCACTATTCAAAAACCTGTACAACAGGACTTCATCAGCTGATCATTTTGACAAAGAGTCTAAGTAAGCAGAACGATAACGAAAATGGAGGTATACTTGAAGAACTTTGTAGGAACCGGAGAGGCTGTGATTGTGGTTGTATCACTTGGATCATGGTAGTAGTTTTGAGTTTGTTCCGCAAGAGGGACTCTCCGTTTCCTAATGGCAGCGACAATGACACGTGCTAACTTGATGAAAGGGCTACCACCTTGTTCCTTAACATGGTGATAGAAACGTTTCCCAACGAGAAACATTGCCAAGCCAAGAATGTTACAAGCCAAAGAGATACCAAAACCCCATGACCAACTAATATTGTCCTCCACATAAACAATAGCCGTGGTGCTTATTGCAAAGGAAGTGTAAAAGGCGAATATGTACCAATCAAAGAATATTGCTTGATGTTTTGGCTTATCAAATTGATTAGCTCCCATGGGCGCAATTGTAAAACGCGTACCTGCAACCCCTAAAGAAGCTAGTCCCAGAGCCACATATAATACTGCATACTGGTGTTTTGAGGGGCTTGTACAAAGACTGGATCCACCATCACATGCTGCAGGTCTTAATACATCAATTGCCGCTGTCAATAGTAGAAGCAATATGCCCTGCAAATGCAATCAGGGAATCAATACGTGGTTATTGGGTCTTAAGCTACAGTCAAACCTTTCTATAAAACCTCGTTTGTTTCGATATTTTTTGGCTGTTATAGTGAAGTGTTGTTATATAAAACATATATTATAATATAACATAAAAATCGGTTTCAAGAAAAACTTGGCTTTTATGGTTAATGACTGTTATATACGGATGCTGTTATAGAAAGTAATTCTGACTATATTTTGAAGAACTGAAGATGAATCTATTGAAAGAGTTAAGTTTTATACCAAAGCAGAGACAAGAGAAGAAATCCAAATGACAGAAAAACAGCCAAGATAAGAGTCAGCAATGATTCCACCAAGAATTGGGAAAAGAGTGGTCAAGCCATTGACTACATTGTATACTTTAGCTGCTTTGATGCTCTTCATGTTGAATTCATTTATCAAAAAAACAATCAGATTGCTAGTCCACCCTCCAGACGCAAGCGATAAGCCCGCCATAGTTGCTGAATTAACCAATCAAAACATTCAAGATTATCAGTCTCACATATCTCAATCTCCACATGGACCAATTAAAGTCTTAACAATATGGGGGTAGGCAGCAAGGTAAACAAAGTAGAGGCGGATAATCCATGTTGCATGGACTCTCCAAATTGCTACCGCACCCTATTAGATCCTCCAAAAAATACACTACTTTTGGAGGATCCGACATGCACCCAACAACATTTTCTGAAAGTCCGAGCAACTTAGGGCGGATTTGACGAGTTCAATTAAACTCAGTGCTTTCTGCTCGAATCATGTATACATATGTAAAAGATACTAAAAAGATGTATATACATAATAAGTTACGCCATTTTGAATCCACGACCTCTAAATCCTGAATTCGACTTTTAATAAAAGGGTGAAAAAGGTTACTCCATTATTTTCCTTGAGCCGAGGGTCTATTGGAAACAACCTCTCTACCTTCACAAGGTAAGGGTAAGGCCTGCGATTGCGTACACACTACCCTCCCCAAACTCCACTTGTGGAATTACACTGAGTTTATTGTTGTTGTCGTCATAAAAGAATGAAAAACATACCTATAATGAAGGGGAAGGTTATCCAGCCACCATTTTTTCGACCAGAAAAGGACTGCATTGCTGCTTCATCAACATCTCTTTCTGAATTTTCCATTTCTAGCTGCAGGTCAACTTGAAAGCAATGATATTTGTTTCTACTTGTTATTTGTTGTTTGAAGTTTTAATAGCAGGCAAAGGTTATCCAAGACTGGAACGCCAGACTTTCACCAGCATTTTTATAATTTGAATGATTGGAATATGTTATTTTAAGAAATTGACCTAAACTAATGTGTGAGAAGAGGTCATATATTCCATATCCTCAATGATTTAGTTCCTGGACCTACCCAACTCTTTGTTAACTTCTGGTCCATGAAAGAAAATATTTTATTATAATTTTCTGAATGATCTCTACAAGTTCTCCATACTGTCTTCACATTTAAAATAAACTAGCAATACTTTATTTATAATAATACGAAATCTATTTCAACTAGAAACAAAAAAAAACTTATTCCTATATAATTCTGACTAAAAATTCTATTTCAGTATGAATTAGATAAACTTGTAAATATCAAATCCTAAACAATTTAGGTTTACTACTACAACTTTAAATTAGTTTTCCAATATTCTCCCGTAATTCAAAGTTGTATACATCTGACTTTTTTGTTGTGTGTTGGAGCACTTCTCTCCAACTTCTTTTGTTGAAGCACTTGTCTCCAACTACTGTTGATGTACTTTGCCACCAACAATCAATTTTGTTGAAGTTCGTTGATGCACTTTGTCACCAACACTCAGTTTTATTGAAGCACATGTCTTCAACTTCAGTTAATACACTTTGTCACCAACATTCAATTTTGTTGAAGTACCTGTATTTAACTCCCGTTGATGCACTTTATCACCAACGTCCAATTTTATTGATTCACATGTAATCAACTTCCAACTTTTTTAAACCTCTCTCTAACTTTCACTACTAGAAATCCGGTAAATACCAACCAAAAAAACCGACCAACTTTGGTCGGTTATGGCAAATTACCGACTAAAATGCGACCAAATACGCTTGGACGGTATTTTGATGGTCGTTTTAATATACAGACCAAAGTTAGTCAGAAATTACCGACCAGCGTTGGTCGGTCAATTAAATTCAAAAAACAATATTGCAAAAAAATCCGACCAAAGTTGGTCCGTATTTTAATTATGTAATCAAAAGATTCACCATCTGAGAATCGAACCATACTGTGATAGGATACTATTCTACCACTAGACCATTGGTGCATTTTGTTTTAAGATTGTCTTTTTTTTATTTATACTCTTTAATTGTATCTTCGCATGAAAATAACCGACCAAAGCTGGTCGTTTTTGTTAAAAAATAAAATTACCGACGAAAGTTGGTTTTTTAAAATGACCGGCCGACTTTGGTCGTTTTTTTTTAAAATTAATTTTTATTTATTTTAATTGCAAAAACCGACCAAAGTTGGTCGGTTTCTTGAAAAATAAATTTGGCGGGACTCAAAAATAGTTTCTCGCATTTTTGCGCCAAAGAAAACCGACCAAAATTGGTCGGTTTGTAAAAAAAAAAAATTAAAATATTTTGAAAAAACCGGCCAACTTTGGTCGGTTTTTGACCGGTTTTTTGACCGACCAAAGTTGGTCGGTTTTTTTTGGTCGGTATTTATCGAATTTCTAGTAGTGTTTTAGAGAAGGTTCTTCCTCTTATGCCATATTGGTTCGTACCTCTTTTAACTTGCATTATTTTTTTCATACATATATCACTGGCTTGACGTTTGCCAACATAATCTTTGGCCAGAGGGTTGCCATCATAATCATTGGCTAGATGGGCGGCACATATTGGCTAGCGCCGCCCATGGGCAGCAAAAGCTATTTGATTCATGAAAGAAAATATTTTATTATAATTTTCTAAATGATCTCTACAAATTTTCATACGTCTCCACATTTAAAATAAACTAGTAATACCCCCTATTTATAATAGTACAAAACATATTTCAACTAGAAAAAAGAAAATTTATTCCTATACAGTTCTGACAAAAATCCTATTTCGACATGAATTAGATAAACTTGCAAATATCAAATCCTAAACAATTTAGGTTTTCTATTACAATTTTGAATTAGTTGTCCAACAGTCCATTTGTTTCAGTTTATACGACACTCTTTTTATTTTGATACGATCAAAAGCGTTTGACATCATTTCATTTTATAGAACTTTCAAAACTTTGAGAAACTCACATATGTATATCAAACTATCCAACTTCATGGATGCTTTCTTTATCAAACTAATTTTTCAATTATTGCTTTAATATATTTCTTTCACCAACACTACTATAATATATTGGTCAAACTAATACTATAAACTCACCATCAAATAATGTCATATAAAATGAGAGCGACATAATATTATTGGAAATACCATTTCCTTTTGAAAAGGAAAATTGTTAATTCTTTATCCAATAGCTTGCAGTCTTGCACACCCATAAATTATACCAAAAGTACAAAATACAGCATTTTACTTCATAAAAAAGTTAACGTGTTTGTCTTTAGCGATGAAAAAAGTCAATAAGATTGTCCAATTTTCAATCGTAAATCACACATAGGACATATATTGCCTTTCTTTCTATAAAATAGTCTATGACTATGATTAGAGAGATTTAAGCACTAAATATATTTATATAAACGCTGAAGGTAAGCTTACCTAAAACCAGAATAAAGAAAAGGAGGGTGAATGCGAAATGCTACCGAATATCAAGCAAGTTGCTTGATTTACTCGTTCTCAATAATTTTGGGAGGGGCCAGATGTTAAACTTTCCAAACATAAGGGAATTCATACAATAAAATAAATGACAGATCGGTGCACTAAGCTCCCGCTATGCACGGGGTCTAGAGAAGGGCCGGACCACAAGGGTCTATCGTACGCAATCTTATCCTACATTTCTGCAAGATGATGTTTTCACGGCTCGAACCTGTAACCTCCTAGTTACATGGAAACAACTTTACCAGTTATGCCAAAGCTAAATGAAAGTCATACAATCCTAAAAATACTTTAGTAGTTTACTCTTACGCAATCATTAGAAAATATCAAGTTGGCTATTTAGAAAATGCTGGCACCACAATAGTGATTACCCAACTAATGCATAGAATAATCTTAGATAGTTAAAGCAATGATGGGCATATTTCAAGTTTGTAATTATAGCAAAGATGATTATTTGACCACACCCGGCGGTGGAGTAAGCTCCCGTTATACGCGGTGTTCGGAAAAGGAACGGACGGATTATTGGACCACACCAAGTTTGTAATTATAGCAAAGATGAGTACTGGACCATACCAACCAACCGTGCACAGGATTATTACTCTTTGAACCACATCAAGCACTGGATTTCCAATATAGTAAGCAACGCGAACATACATTGCAACAATAGCAGTCGAGTTACTTTTTAAGGATACTGGAAATTCTTGGTAATAAAATCCACACTGTCCTGGAAAATGAAATGCTTCTCTAACACCAACAATAGCTAGTTGCGGCACAAGCCAAAACACTGACATTGGAACTATGGCATTTTTCTGACCTTGTAGTTGATAGGAATTCACAAGTTTTAGCCTCTTTGCGGAGACAGCCATGTCAACAATCGTGAGCACGTGCCCAACCCCAAGAGTGAATTTCTGTTTATGAAAGTAATGGTAATAGAAGTAAATATCAATACGAATATGATCATACTACTTGCTTTAAAGTAACAGAACAACACTCACTTTAATGTCACCAACTATTTTAAATTGATGTATCAGGAGGAAGAAAGTGGTTCATACTTGAAGAATCTTATAGGAATTGGAATAGCTATTTTTGTGATTTTGTCATTTGGTTCATTCTAATAGTGTTCAATTTGATCTGAAAAGGGGCTCTCCATTTTTGAATAGCCGCGAAAATGACACGAGCCATGCTTATAAAAGGTCTGCCTTCGTGTTCCTTGACATGTCTGATAAAATCGTTTGCCACACAAGAAAATGACCAATCCAAGCATGTTAAGTATGGCTGAAATCACGTACCCCCATGCCCAAATAACGCTATCTTCGACGTAGACAATGACCGTAGAGCTTATAACTCTAAGAAAACTGAGTAGATAATATTGACAAGGAAAAAACGGAAATAAGAACAACTTATCGATAAATACTGTGTTGTGGCAAGCCACTATCTTGAAAGCGATTTCGGCCCGACAAGGTACAAATCGTTAAGACCGGTCGCTTCCCAAGATTCCACTGTACCTCCCAAACACGTGCATTCGTGACTGAAAGTTTGGAATTTGCACAAAGCTATTGCCCAAAATTCGGATGAAGGTGTTTTTTCTATGTCAGATTATTCACAAAGAAGGCTGTCTTTTATAGGCAAAGCTGTTGAACAGTTACAGATGAAGAAATTAATTTATAGCTATTACAGAAATTAAAAATGGAGCCGTTGGGGTGGGGGAGGGAATCGGCCAGTTTTGCCTTCAGGATCAACTTCTCATATGCGCCAGACAACTCCCTTTTACTAGCTCTTTACAAGCCCAACAAAGAGTAATTTATAATAAAGTGAAGAAAAAGACTTTCCACAACCAATGAGGGACACTTTGTTTTTCACAAAAGATAAAGAAATAAAGAAGGAAAAGGGTCTACAAAAAAATCTTTGGCTTTGCATTATAAAATATAAAATAATACCAATAATCCCCCGCTAATGCAAAGACAAAAATAGAATAAGAACAATTCTGGGCAAAAGAAAGAACAAGTACTGAAGTGTCAATATCTTTCGATTTGAATTGACACATAGTGAAATGAGGCAATAACTAACATTCACAAAGTGAACTACTCTTGAACTGAATGGACATTAGTTGAGACCCCCACAACACATACTATATCCTTAATTCTATGCAAACTCCGCGATATTAACAAAGTGCTTTTATGGTCATGCACATACCTTGGGTCTCATGAGTGCTCTAGAAAGACATCCCAAGTCTTTCATAAAAAGCGATCGCACCTTTACACTCACATAGATAATTTCATTAAGTCTATCTACATATAGACCACCTTAAGGCTATGGAATCATTAAGAGCAAAATAAGCTCAACCTTATAAAGCACTACCACACGCCATAGGGATAGGAAATGTAGTGCATATTAAGGTCTCATAGGGCTTCATATGACCACACAAACGGGTATCCACTATACTTCCTCAATCCATGGGTTTTAGCCCCACCCCCTTGACGTTTCAAT